AGGTTAGATGGATTGGCTGTGCTAAATTGTCCATGGCGCCCAGGGATCTGTAAGCTAGGTGAATTAGCTGTGGGAAACACAGGGTTACAGGGATAGGGTGAGTCTGGGTGGGATGCTGTTTGGAGGGTCAGTATGGACCAATGACCTGCTTCCACAATGCAGGGATCCTATATCAAATAACTAACATGCTGCTCCAGAACCTGGAAGCTTAGTTTTTGATCCAATTTTCTTCATTTGTTCAGCCAGAAAAATGCAAAGAAGCAAATTCTGAGAAGGGTAAGGAGAAGATGAACAATGGGAGGAAATCTGAATAAAACAGCACAACTTTATTGTGGAGAGATAGTAGGAACTGCCAATGCTGGAAAATCTGAGATAACAAGGTGTACAGCTGGATGAACACAGCAGGCCATGCAGCATCAGAGGAGCAGGAAAGGGTTTCGGGTCTAGACCCTTCTTCAGAAAAACTTTATTGTGGAGCTTTCTTTTCAAACTTAAACTTCAAAGTACCAATGGGATATTGTGAGAATGAATTCAAGGAAAGTGTGTCAAAAAGAGCTTTTTACTGATGGTTCGGGGGTTGGTGCACTCCATAGTGTAGTACTGAAGAAAACAGACCTGTTAAGTCTCAGATATAATAACTTTTGTATGTGATTCATTTCTGTTTGCTTGGCTTTCACTGAGTGAGCTGCGATTAACATTAATGTCCTCAAGCTCGGAGGAAAGGAATCAGCCAGTGAGTCCATTTCTAATTGTTGGCTAGTGAACTTTGCTGATGCATTGGGATATACAAAGCATCAGGTTCATCTGTGATAACACAGTGTGGAGCTGGAGGAGCACAGTGGGCCAGGCAGCATCAGAGGAGAAGGAAAGTTGATGTTTCGGGTCGGGAAGCATCAATCTTCCTGCTCCTCTGATGCTGCCTGGCCTGCTGCGCTCCTCCAGCTCCACACTGTGTTATCTCTGACTCCAGCATCGGCAGTTCTTATTATCTCTGAGGTTCATCTGTGATGCTCCAATATTGAACAATCTTTTAACTCAAACACAAAGAAGACTCAAGGAACTGGAGAACAACCAATGACTCTAAAGCCTTTTAGCATGTCGGAAAGTGAAAGCACAGGAAAATGACAAAAGGAGACCATGTTGCATTGATTAGGTTCTTATTCCATTCAATATAGTTTGAAGATGTGATTTAATTGAGATGATCAAAAGACATGGTATGGCAGAGGGAAAGAAACTATTGCTCTGGTGGAATAATCCACAACAAGGCAAAATAATCTTAAAATTAGTTTAGGGCAAGATGTCAGAAAACACTTGCTCAATGGGTAATGAAACACTGGAATTAATTTCTAAAAAATGCTGCTGAGGCAATTAAAAGTTTCAAAATTGAGATTGATAAATTGTTGGGTAAAGGGATTAAGAGGTTTGAAACCAAGATGATTAGAGATTGGAAATCATAAATCAATCAATCGTGTAACGGGCTGTGGGGATAGTGTTAGTAACAGGCGTTGAAGTATTTGATCCGTAGTGATCTTATTGAATGATGCAACAGGCTTGAGAGGTTGGATATATTCTTGTTACAATGGTCCAATTTTATTATTTCAGAGATTCTACATGAAGAAAGATTAAAGGTAAATGGGGATAACGGCTGCTAAGTTAATTTTAGACAGTCAAGTGTTTCTTCAGGCTTCAAGTTGGCTGCCAGGCCTTAGCAGAGGATTATCTCGACATAACTAATGGAACCACTCAAGGCACAGGTAACCTCACAGACCACTGATGGAGCATGCCAGAACACCTTAAGAAGCCTTTCTTACATTTGATTTTGCTTGTCTGCGTTGCAATTCTATTAGAACTCAGTTCTGCTTCTGCAGTGCTGGGAAACAGGAACAAATCCCAGTGTGACCAGCAACAAAACTACAGGACATGCAAATACACCTTCAAAAAGAGTCTTAAAAAAACTTCAGAGAAAATAACCTCACGCAGCAGTCAATTTCTTGCTTTAGTTCTTTCTACAAAAATTGTAATTGGATTTGTTTGATCCAAATAAAAGATTTTTAAAAAGCTCTGTTTTCAATGCAAATGTAAATGTAAATGCAATTCTGGAAAAGCTCCCAACATAGATTCTTAATTCACATCATTGTTGGCATATATTTTTAATGGTGTACAATACATTTACTGGCCCCGAATTTATTGTCAGGTAGTAAACCCCATACACCATTATTGTTAGGCATATCAATGAATAGATTGTGACAAATAATAGCCCATGAAGAGCAAATAGTTATAAGTTACTGAGCAGTTTGCACCATTTTTGATAACTTTCCAAAAAGGCATCTGACTCTTCGCCTTCCTGTGAGTTTGATGAAGTTCGTACACAGAAACATTAATTGCCCATTAAACTCACTCAAGTATGTTGCTTAGTAATTAATAACTTAAGCAATCTTTTATCAAATCAAAATCAAATTCTCTGATCCAGAAATAAAGTAATTAAAAGTCTGCAACCTCATTATTTCAGTTTGTTTTTGTTGGAGATTTTATTGATGTAATATTTTTCTTACCATTCCATTTTGTCTTTTCTTTTCCTCTCTCTCAATCCAACTTTTCTTTTCCTTTCTATTTCCCATTCTGTACCAGATTCAACTTGAAGTTATACACTCTTATTCAACCTTTTTCTCAGTTGTTGCCTCTGTTTTCTTATTAATTCTGAACTCTCATTGGTTAAAAATTGGATCCATTGATGTTGCTGCCATTCCCAAGATATCAAATACCCCATTGCTTTCATCGTACCCTTTTTAGCTCATATTTCCAACAAGCTATAAAAACAAAAACATTTTGAACAGAAGAGTGCAAGAAAATTACATGGGCAGTAAGAAAGGATATATTGGCGTTGGAGGCAGTTCAAAAGAGATTCTCTAGGCTAATTCCTGAGTTGAAGTGATTTTTATTTTATAGAATCTCTGCAGTGTGCAAACAGGCCATACAGCCTAACAAGTCCACACCAATTCTCTGAAGAGCATCTCACCCAGATTCACCCCCCTACCCTATATTTTACTACAACTAACCCACATATCCTTGGAGACTATAGCATGGTCATTCTGTCTAAATTGCACATCTTTGGACTGTCGGAAAGAAACCAGAGCACCCAGAGGAAATCCGCGCAGACAGGGGAGAAGCTGCAAACTCCACTCAGACAATCATCTGAGACTGGAATTGAACTCAGGTCCCTGGCACTGTGAAGAAGCAGTGCTAACCACTGAGCCACAATGCTGCCCTCACTTAGCTAGAATGGTTAAATAGGCTAGGCCTGTATGAATTAGAATTTAGAAAAATGAAATGTGATTTTATTGAAATATACAAGATCCTGAGGTAGCTTGACAGAGTAGACATTGAGCAGATGTTTCCATTAGTGGGTGAGTCTTGAATTCGAGGTCAACATTACAGAATAGGAGGACACTCATTTAAAACAGAGATGCGAAAGAATTTCCTCTCCCAGAGGATAGTGAATGCCTGGAATTTTCTGCCCTAGAAAGACTAGATCAGTGGATTGTGAGATTACATGTGTCTCAAGTGATTCCATTTAATTTCTTCAAGATAATCCTCTGTTGTGGCCTAACAGCTAGCTTGAAGCCTACAGAAACACTTGACTGTCTAAAATGAACTTAGATTACAGAAAGTATTTAAAGAGGAGTTAGATGGATTTTTGAAATACTGAGGAGTTATTTGATTCACGAATGTCCTTAGGGAAGGAAATCTGGCATTTATCTGGCCTAAATGTGACTCCAGATCCAGGAGCATGGGTAAATCTTAATCGCCTTCTGAAATAATTGAGCATGTTACTCAAGTCAAGAATAATTAGGGATGGGCAGCAAATGCAAATGCAAGGATGCTTCACTCTGGCAAATTCTGGGTTACTCAACTGATTTTTGCTACACAGGGGTCTTTTACACCATTTGCATCTGTTAAATTGTTTCCTGTATCATTCTGCATAACAGTTTGGTTCTGAATTTCTGTCCAAGTTTAATGAGCCATTAATGTATGAATCCAACATGTTCGTAAACATAATGGAGAGCCTTAGGGTGGGGAATGCCATTTGTGTGAAGTCAATGATGGAGCTGCATAAATCAACCAGAATTGGACCTCAAGCCATATCTCTTAATCTGCTGCACTTGCTCATATTAGTCATGAAGTGGATCATTAACATGCCATTACTTTTCCAACAAGGGCAGGTGCAATATCTTTATGCTGCAATTTAGTAAAGGCAAAAGGTCCCACCTGCTCCAAAGGTGTGTAATAACATCTCTAAACAGGTTGATTAGAAAAACAGCACTCCCTACACCTACTTTCTCCTCATCTTTGATGGTTTTCATTGCCCATAATGGGCTTTGCTTATATTCAATTGGATACATGCGTGTTTTTACTGGTGGTGATTACTAGTTTCAAAGAAAGCCAAAAAAATGTCATGATGATTTTGATGGTAGGAAGGTACGCAGCTGTGTGAGATAATACTTCTGGGTAAAAAAGAGAAAGAAGTAAAGGCAAAGGAATATTTCTAGTTCAATATTGTACTGCTTTGAAAAATATAGCCCATTTCAGTGTTAATTATTCAGGCACAAAGATAATATTCAGGGTGCACTGTATTCAATAGAAATAGGTATTAGCTGGTCAGTTTCAGACAAAGGATTACACAAAAGATTGAGGTCAAAATGTACAAGCATCACACTTCGCAAATGATCTACCAGTTCCAAGAAATATTGAGATAGTTGTTCAACCAACTTGATGTTGTAACTTGATCTCAAACAAATACTCAATCTGAATTTTTGAACATGTTCTGTTCCCATTCATAGACTTTTGAATCATTGGAGTAGTCCCTGCAAGATGGCTGACGACATCATATTATTGAGTCTTAATTTGTCAGTCATTCAGACACAAAATCCCTGAAATTAGAGTCAGAACAACTCAGCTAGATGGATGGAATTTGGTGCTTGCTGTAAATTGTTTTAAATTACCTCAAAAAGAGCCATGTTTTTTCCATCATACTCTTTTCCTTTTTCAACTTCTGTGCTATTAATGAAGGGACTGCTCTCCTTGGGGTTTCCATCTCCTGTACAGACAGAAACAAAAGAGAAGCACTTTTCAAAATGTGTTCAGGAGAAAGGAAAATAAGTTACACATATATGAACATCTAATCCATACGGCATACATGTATATAATGACTAAGTGAGTCTCATACATTCACCTCAAACCACTTTCCAAGAGACCTATAGCCTCATAACAATAATTTTGTGGCTTTAAGATAGGAAATCATCCTAAGTGCTTTGCAATGTCTGGATCAGAGGAACCCTTTTCAAAACCATACTGGGAATGAAATTGGAACACATAGAAACATGAGGTAGATTAAGTCAAATTTAGAAAACCATGAGATGCAATGGAGGATAAAGAGAATTCTTGAAAATAGGACCATGACACATGAAGCTTCTGTTAACAATCGTTAAATAGAGGAAAGTAAAGTAGGCCAGATTCAGAACAGTGAATGGTGCAATCTGAGATTTAGGACTCGGGGGAGCTGCATAGATAGGGTGGAATGAAATCTTGGAGAGTAGACAGGGAGTAGGCTTTTAAAGTTAAATTTTCTTGTAAATGGAAATCTGGTAGAGAAAATTGGGTAAAGATGCAATCTGTAAACTGGACATTTGAGGGGATAATATAGGCAGTGGAATTTGGGGTAAATTGGTTCATGCATCGTTTGGACCTCAGGACGTCATCAAATAAATGTGCTGTTGGGATTGTTGAGTATTTCACAGATGAAGGAGTGAGGTAGGACTGGAGGCAGGTGATAATCCATGGTTTCAGACAGTGGTCATGGGCTTCATGTGAAGTTTGAAACTCAGCTCAGTGTTATACAGGACTGAAAAGATGTAAAGTGTCCAGTTTAGAAAGAGCAAGACAGATGTCCTTCAGTCTTCCAATCACTTAAACAGAAGAAGTTAATTTTTTTTACTCATTCTTAATTTTGGACAGTTTGGAAGCAGGTCAAGAACAGTGGTGAAGAGGAAAGCAGAGTTCCAGCACCTGTGAAAGCTGACCCGCATAGTATGGGTTTACATTGTAACATAAGGCATCATCACAGCAGTGTGCATCACTTGTAGTGATTAACCAAGTGGTATTCTGCACTGGTATGAATTGCATGTTAAAATAAATATAAGGCCAATGTTAGGAACGACATGGGTGGAAGATTGCATTCTGCAATTGCTCTTCAGAAAGCACAGAACAGGTTCATACCTAGTCCACAGATCATTTGACACCATAATTGATTTTACTTTCAATTGAAATCAACAGCGAAGAAAATTTGGAGACGGGCAAAAATGGCTGCAGATTTTCTCTTGGATCATTTCACACTGCTGACAAAGACTATTTCAGCTATCACTTATTAAAAAGAAAACATTAGAATTTTCAGTTATATTTGAGTCTCTGAGCTTTCTGCGAATTACACGACATTTAATGCTTCACAAAAGAGCTGACATATCTATGAATTATACTGCTGAACCATTTGTTATATCATTATCCAGGAAACCTTAGTGAACACAAACCTGAAATACTGACTGAATTCTGTTGTTCAATGTGCATGCCTATTTGGTTCACTGCGGAGAACCTAATATATTGCATTAGTTATGACAATAATCTCAGCCAGTCTGCATTTCTTTGCGAATATTATGGTCTGTGTGGATAGTTATTTGGTGCCGTTTTCTTACCAAGATGAGGAGACATAAGAATGAACTTATAAAATAGTCATATAAAATGTATCTTCAAAATAAAAACAAAAATAGATACGTTCCATTCATTGAGCAGTAAAGTTTTGAATTTAGACTGGAAACCATCAATAGGTTCTTTGAAGAAACAAATGTCAAAACTCTTGAGTAAACTCATCCAGTACTTCAAGATTTTAGATCCAAGATAAAATGTTTGAAACTGGTTATTTTCAGTATCAGCGCCACCAGCATGTGGTATTCTACTTTGGTTAGTTCACCACCAGGAATTGTCCTTCCTTTAGATAATTAACTTCATTGGTAGAAGTTAGACCCTGGTGAGTCCAAACAAAAGGACCACTTGTCTTAGATGACAAGACGGTTTATTGCATGATTGCAATAGGTACCGTTTACATTACTAGATAAGGCATAACTAAGAAGGACTCTGAAAAATGTTCTCCCTTTGGGAAACTTCTGCAGAATTCAAGTGTTTAACCCCACCCACAAGCTGTGTGACATTGTCAGAATAGTTGTATTTTCTAGCATGATTGATGAAAAATTGCTAACCTTCCAACTTAGGAATCCACATCCTTCCATTGTTGAAATTTACTTTTAAGCAAGGAGAATAAATTGAATGGCCAATAAATAATCTGATATGATAGAAAAACAAGTGAAATCATTCTCATTTAAGAATTGGTGCAAGTCTTAACAACGGTAAATCTCTGTAGTTGCTGGTTTGTTCCATGATTAAATGCTCAAGCTATAGGTTGGATCATCCTTTCATTGTGATTTGAAATATGATCCGGGGTCTAGGAAACACACAATTTCTAGCAGGATCTCTATTCCCATCGGTTATTTTGCCACTGATCAAACAGTACAGACCTTAAGAGTTACTTGATAAACCAACCGAGTTCAGCAATGGTGGAGGACGCTGACTGAAGCATGAATCAGATCAATATTTACTCGCAATCTCCCTTTCAACTTGCAATGATTTTAATAAATCAACATGCATGTGAAAAATGATGCCATTCAGTTTTACTAGGCTAATGCAAGTAATTATGCTTTTTTAAAAGGTACATTAAATACCTTCTTATTTAATCTTCCCTCGTCAGGCTGAGTACACACAATGCAGCCTGTCTAGTACAGGTTGGAATGTATTGATTCGCTGTCATCATAAATGATTGTATTAATCCTCAGAAGAGCTCTGCATCCTGCTATGCAAATCTGTTTGAGCCCATTACTGTTCTGACCTTCACTGCCAAATGGGCATACGCAGCTCCTAAATAAATTGCTATGAACTAAACCGACTGATGGAATTGATCTTACTTCCCAACTCTTACTTATATTAGTTTATTATGTTATTATTTTATTGCTTTTGTTAATATTTTAATGCCTTCCTTGTAACAATGCATGGGGATCCAAAGAAGTGGGAGAGAATCCAGACCATGCATCGATGGTGGATTGATAGTGGCACGAAGGCTTATTCACTTATGTCCCATAAATTTGAGGAGCAGGCAAACTAAATACATGCCAGTGAGAAATACCATACACCCAGATAGCTCATTTTGAAAGCGAATGCATTTTTCAGCATACTGATTTATTACCTGTTGTGGTAAAGTTCCAGACATTGAGTCCTTATTGGAGCATTGTGATGAACATAGCTATGGCACTTTACTAATGTTCACATGATAATTTTCACATGCAAAACTATTTAGACCTCTAGTTTAAATAAATCTTCCAGTTGCAGTTTACTTAAATGACCTATACATTATAGTTAAATTGCACCTCCACTGAACTGCTATTGAAATAAAGATATTCCAAGAATGTAACTGGTTAGGGCTCTTGTGGTGCAGTGGTAATGTGCATATCTCTGAGCCAGAAGGCTTGGGTTCAAGACCCACCTGCTCCAGTGGTGTGTAATATTACACTGAGCAGGCTGATTTGAAAATATCACAAAGTATTATGCTCTGATTGCTTTCTCTTAATCTCCACATGTGGAAATGCTGAGCTTCCCTTTTCACTGCACTAAGTCCTGGCTGAGAGCGAACACTAGTGAATGAAGCCCAGGAGGCAATGCAGTATTCAAGTGATCAAGTGCATGTGAGCGGCCTTGTTTATCTTTCCATCCAGGCTCAATGGTCAAATGTGAGCCAGTTAATTGAGAGCTGCTGCTTTGCTTATTCTGTGGACCACATATATCATTTTAAATATTATCACCCTCATGTGCTCTGTAGTTGACACATTGACCCTTTATTTATGTTACAATCATTCTCAGCATGTATACACTTCTTAATGTGCAGGTGGAATGACATCGACATTTCTCACTGAATCAAGAGGGAGTTTAAATTGCACATGCTGCTGGTAACTGGGTAAATCTTGGGCTCATTTTGGATCAAGACTAAGTTAGTACACACAATTCAACTACATTACATGGCAATCATAATTGTCAGCCCATATCAGATCTGCTGCTATCACCAGTGCAAATGAGGTGTAAGGTATCTGTTCTATCATATCTTGAGCATAAAGCATCTGATCCCATCCACTGTAGATAATTCCATTTAAGCATCCCCACTCAACCAGCTGCTCCCTGGCATTGCATTCAATGGAATTGTACAACTACCCATCTGAATGTTGCACCATCTGCAGTTTGCAATCAGTTTGCAAAGCCTGGTCCTCCTGTTGGATTAAATTTCTATCTAGTCCTCACAAGAATTTAGATCATTGGTGCTGACAGACTGGCCTGGGTTACCTTTCTGTCATGACACTTGCCTTGATTTCATCCTGTCTGTATTGTCTTTATAATTTGGAGCAGCACAGCACCCTCAGACACCTTTTCAACTGTTTGACAATAGATTTGTGACTGGAAGGTGAAGGATAAAGATAAACTTTAATGTGTTCACAACATTTACATCAAAGAACAGCATCACCATACACTGTGGCGTTCAAGCAAAAGGGCCCAAGTTTAATTCATCTGTACTTTGTCACCCAGGACTTCAACAATTACCATCAGGCTTCCAACCCATAATTACTACGTAGTGACTCCTATCAATACAGACATGTTAGTCTGGCTACATAATTAGTGATCATCTGATGGAAAATGGGACCAACAAGTGAAGGAACTCAATTGGCTTTTGCTGAATGTGTATTAACAGCTTTGTGTGTGATGGCTTGATGCACAGCCGATTATCGATCATTTCAATATACAGACCTGAAACTTTTTGAAGGTGGAATCACCAAGAATAAAATCAATGGAAGGGATGACTATTATCCCACTGCTGCTTTACAGGAGGAAATGGACACCAGCCCAATGGTATCATCCCTTCTCAGTGGACTAGCCAATTACACCAATCTTCCCCAGGGTGTCAAAGAACACGAAGAGGCTGAAAATAATGAGGGGACCAGAAAGAAACAAGTCAAGGTAAAAAGAAAAGGGACAGAGAGTCACAGTGTGGTCATTTTTCCACTCTTACGTTGCTTTTATATTTTCTGCATTCTATGCTCTCAGGTCTAACCCTGACTTTGTTATCGAAGCTGCCATTAAGATAGTACTATAGTTATCCGATGTCCTGACCTCTACCTTGCAGAGAACATAGAATAATACAGCACAGGAACAGTCCCTTCAGCCCACCATGTTTGTGCCAACCATTGTGCTATTCTAAACTAATCCCTTCTGCCTGCACATGGTCTGTTTCCCCCTATTCCCTGCCTATTCATGTGTCTGTCTAAATGCCTTTTAAACATTGCTATTATAAACTGCTTCTACTACCTCCCCTGACTACGTGTTTCAGGCACCTACCACCCTCTGTGTAAAAAAACTTTCTTCGCACACCTCCTTTCAACTTTTCCCCTTCCACCTTAAATTCCTAGTTTTTGACATTTCCACTCTGGGAAAAAGACTACCCACTTTATCCATGCCTCTCATAATTTTGTATACTTCTATAAGGTCACCCCCCAGCCTCCTGTGCTCTAGCAAAAACAATCCAAGCTTGTCTAGCCTCTCCTTATAGATTATATACACCACTCAGGGCAACATCCTGGTAAACCTTTTCTGAAGCCTCTACAAAGCCTCCACATCCTTCCTGTAGCATTGCAACCAGAACTGCACACAATACTCCAAATGTGGCCTAACTAAAGTCTTATACAGATGCAAATATGACTTGCCAACCTTATACACAACACTCCGACTAATGAATACACCTTCTTTACCACCTTATCTACATGTGTGCCATTTTCTGGCAGCTATGGCTTTATATCAATGCTCCTAAGGTTCCTGCAGTTTATATTGATTTTCCTCTTGTATTTGACCTCAAATGCATTACGTCACACTTGGCTGGGTACCAACCTCATACACTTACTCTTTTGTCCCCCATACCATTACACCACAACTGAGCATCAGGCTTTTGTTTCAGGACTTCATCTTCCCTAAAGTTCTCCCCTTCGCAGCTTCCTACTTCAGACTCCCTGAACCCAGCACAGCCCTCTTCTGAAAAAGAATCATTGGACTCAAAACATTAACTCTGTTTCTCTCTCCAAAGATTCTGCCAGATGTGCTGAGTTTGTCCAGCATTTTCTGTTTTTACTTCTGGTTTCCTCATTCTTTACAACTAATATCAACATTTTCTCTAATGTCAATACCACTATGTGTTGAAGCTCTAGATTCCTTCCCAGACCCCTGCCCTCACTCCCCCACATCTGTCCTTCCTCCTTCAAGACCATTGTTAAAATCTACCTTTTGACAAAGCTTTCCATCACTCATCCATTTATCTCCATGTGTGGGTCAGTGTCATTTTTTTTTGATAATGCACATTGAAGCAAGGTGGGGCATTTTCCTATGTTGAAGGCACTATGTTTAACATATAAGTAGAAATTGTTGTTGTATTT